TTGCCCTCCCTAATATGGGCGTGCCTCACACAATCAGTTCAGGGCTCTAACAGAATTATATAGGCTCAACCTCCCACACCTCCTTGAAGTGAGAGTTCCTACTGCCAAACTGACTTTGAACCAGGACATCTGCATCTTCCTGCCTTTGGACTCAAAGAGAAAGAAACATCAGCTCTTCCTGGGCCTCAAGTCCGTCAGCTTTGGAGAAGAGCCACATCATCTCTGGTTCTCAAGCATACACTGACTGGCAATATGCCAACAGCTCTACTGAGTCTCCAGGCTGCCAACTCACTCTGCAGACCTTGAAACTTGTCAGCTTCCTTAGTCATGTGAGCCAATGCCTTATAATACACCTTATGACTAATCGCACACAGACACCCCATATTGGTTAAGTTTCTCTGGAGAGCCCTGATGAATATATGCACAGACTCCAACTCTTGAACCTCTCAGACCAGGGACTGTTTAAAAGACCTTGTAACAAGTATTCTATAACCATGCCTTCCACAGTAGTATTGGGCATCTAACAGACATTAGCAGATAAGCAGACACCCAGTCAAAGAATAAACATTAGCCCTTCTTCTTGATGGCACATAAAACCCCAAAACTGACTCTTTTGGCAACATTCTCTTGGATTTAGGAAGGAACACAACCCTTCTCCCTCCTCCACAAGTGATAACAGTTGACTTCTTTCAACTTATACTGCCCTTCTAAAGAGGTCATCTCCTCTTCTCCCTCTTAAAACTGCTAAGTTGATGAGGCGGGCAGTCATAATGGCAGCTATTCCCAAGAGCCCACAGTACTTAATATCTTCTCAGAAATCTGTGGACATGTTTAGTAGTCCTATTTAATTAATAATTTTTTCTAGAACAGGGAATATATCTGTTATTTGCATTTCTTTCTTTTCTTTTGGTACCAGGGACCAAACTCGGGACCTTGTACTCATGAGGCAGGCAGTGGCATCACTGACCTAAAGCCCTGGCCCTGTATTTCCAATTTTTAATATGAATCTTAGTAGCTAACAAAAATCTCTTAATTAAGACTAAATCATTATTGAGTCAAGTGTCAGACTGAGGATGTAGCTCAGTGGTAAAGTGCTTGTCTAGCACACAAAGGCACTAATAAGAGTCAAATACACATAATAACAAAGGTAAAAATACATGACTAGAGTTTTTCTAAGTTTAGAATAAAATGACTATTCTGTAGCCCATGCCTTGCCATCCAATAACCTGCTACTACTCACCACATTTTACCATTTCAGCAATTATATCTCAAACCTAGCACATATCTATATAACTAATAGCCAGGTGCAGTAGCATGTGCGTATAACCTCAGCACTTGAGAAGCTGAGGAAGGGGATCACCGTGAGTTTGAGGCCAGCCTGGGCTACATGTGAGCCCTGTCTCAAAAGACCCAAAACAAAGGCTGAGCATGGTGGTGCATGCCTATAATCTAGCACTCAGGAAACCTAAGGCAGGAAGAGCACTGAGATTTCCAAGCCAGGATGGTCACACAGTAAGTTCAAGCTCAGCCTGATATAGTGAGACGCTGTCTCAAAACAACAACAAAATAGAAAAACCTCTACAAATAATCAATGTTGCACCCCTTGATATACACATAATTGAATTTAAAGTCTTCTCATTTACTTTTTCATGTACTTGTTCCCATAGCAGTCAGATCCCCAAACTGAAAATCTTAGAATTCATAAAAATGAACCATAAACTTCTAAGCTGGACCCATACCAAGGTTAACATACTTCCAATTCCAAGTTTTTGTATATATTATTGGGTGAATATTTATGCAAAAAAAATTTTGGGGGGGTACCAGGGATCAAGACATTACAAGGCGCCACTAAGCTACAGCCCCAGCCTTATGCAAATATTAATATTTACCAGCCTGGGGATGTAGCTCAGTGGCACCACACCTGCCTGGAAAGCCCAAGGGGCTGAGTTTAATCCCTGGTAACACTTACTGAAAAAAGACCTTTCATCAAGAAAACTTCTAAAAAACAAAACAAAACAAAAAACAAATCCCAAAAAAGAAAAAAGAAAACTTCCAATTTTAATCTAATTCTAGAACTAGGCAGCATTCTGAGACATTAAAAGAATCAAATATGAGTAAATGTGCAAATTAGTAATAACAGCACTGAATTTTCAAAGAAACTAGTTTGGTTTATGGAAAGCAGCTAAGTGCCAAGTAAAAAACAAATCCAAACCAAAATATTCAGCACAATTTTTATTTCTGGCAACTTCAGCCCTGGCTATGACATTAAATGGTAACAACTGATTGAGCTATAAAAATATTGGTAATTTGGCAGCCCTTTCTCGCTAGAACTGTTACTGGTTCACACCACAAGTGCCTTGAATTAGATGAGTGATTCTGAAGTGGAAGTCAGAGGTAAACTAAACCAAGAGAACTTTTCCCAAGTATGCATCTGCCTTCTCTACATTTCCTCACCACTAAGATTTTGAAGGAAAGTGTACATGTGACGTATATGTATGTTTAAAAAAAATCTTCTAGATTATTTTGAGATATTTATCTGCCTCCACTTTTGTGGAGAATTCTCATATTAGGTACAAACCTTTTAAAAAAATAATGTATCAATAGCAAGCATAAGGAACAGAACTACAAGAGCTCTGCAGAAACCCACACAGGTAAAAAGCTGTGTTCAGAGCAGATGTAAGCCTTCTTCTAAGATTTCTGTGCCAGCTCCTCCCAGAATCTAAACATTACATTTTAGATAATAACAATGTTCAGATATCATTATCCCGAGAAAAACACAGTTTACTAGCCACACCAAAATGTAAAAAAGAAGCCAATTGTGGCAAGGAGATCCTAAGAAGCCACAATGAAATGCCAAAATTCTACTGTTCTGGCATTAAAAAAAAAAAAACAAAGTTCTATAATCCACAGCTGATAACTTGGGATCCTTCTGCTCATATTTTGTCATTCTTAACTTTTCATTACTTAGCACTAATTTTTCTGTAACAAAGCTTAAACAAGCAGAAAACCTTCATCAGCGCAGGGGATATAGTTCAGCGGCACTGTGCCTGCCTAGCAAGCGCAAGGTCCGAGTTTAATCCCCCGTACCAAAAAAATAAAAAAGAAAACCTTAATCATTCTAGAACTTAATAACTATTCTAGCAAAACTGCCTGCTAAAAACAATAAAGTTAAATCAAGACTGCTTGTCAAAATAGCCTAAGGGTTGGATTAAAAACAAAACTTTTAAGATCCATTTTAAAGTGATTATACTTCGATGGTCTTTAATTCCTTATACACAGCTCCAATACTAAGGTGTTTCAGAAGAGAAGACTTCTATGGCTTATAAATAACCATCCAATTATTATTATGCTGATGTGGACTAGTGTTTCTTAAACTACTTGGTTATCTCTAATGTTCAATTTATAGCATTCTACAATGACACCTACTGGACATTCAAAAGCAGCCATTAGATCTGCAAGACAGTCTGAGTAGGCTGTTACATAAGAATGAACACATGCACACACACACACACACACACACACACCAACCTATATAAAGGCAAGGATTTGTTCACAGGTACTTAAAACACTACACACTAAAATAGAAACAGAAGTTTTCTTTGTGACTGAGATAGCATCGTTTTTTGGAAGACAAAAGACAAAGAATAAGGCACCAAGAATCATTTAAAATTTTTAATTGAAGCATTGACAAGGATCTCAGTACTCTTAACACTTCAGAATAAACTGAGCATCCAGTTCTCTTTTCCAGATATTGAGAAAAAAAATGAAATGGTCATTTAAATTTGTATGAACCAAGGTCTAGGGATTTTAGTTCAGTAACACCGCACCTGCCTGGTAAGCACAAGGTACTGAATTCTATTATATGAACCAACATAAATGATCACTAATACAAAAAAATCATTTCACAAAATATTTCTGACAAGCAATTCTAAAGCAAGTTCAGGAAAATGATACAAACGCTAGTAACATTCCTTCTAAAGCAAAGGGAACATTTCAAACAGCTCCATCGCAGTAATTTATAATGTTTCTTTTAAAATTGTTTTCTAGACCTTTAAAATCGTTCTCAATGAACTACAAAATCAAGTCTGTATGTAGTGTCCTCCCTCAGTGCATGCTCACTGAAATTCCTATTTTAATCCTACATTTTATTGTGCAAACAACAAATTACAAAGACACAAGAACAAGATAATTTATGATTAGTTTTACCTGTAAATCTTACCTAAGTCCAAGAAATTCAGAGAACTCCTTTTAAACCTAAGATACAAGTAACTCATAACAAGCTTCTCAGACTTACAGAGCAAACTACTTAAAAGTCGGCTTTGCCCCCTCAGTTCCGACTTCCAACTTTTCAGTTTCTAACCGCAAAACCTAAGGAGAGATCTACCAACTACTTTTCTAGTCGTCTTCCAACTTGCACTTACTTCCTACAAAAGATTTTTGAAGCTCTATAAACACTGAAGATTAAACCTGTCCAGGTAGCAACCTCGGCCCTCGCAGCGAACTCGCGAGTCACAAGCACGGGCACGGGCCCGCCGCAGGCCCCCG